AGATGGCACTATAGCCACCTCTCAAAACATTTTTTATTTCTTTGGGTGAAAAGGGTTTTCAGTCATGCTTTTCTTTCACTGACAGAGACACCACGCAGACCTAGCTTGTTCCTCTTGGCGAGATTGCCTTTGTAGGCTGACTCCATCCCATGAAGTGGCTTGTGTGCAGACTTGGAATGCTGAAATCTACAGCTTTGAGTGAGCTGCTGAATCAAGAACCACATGGCAGTGACACCAACCGATTACTCAGAGGACCTCCTGTAGCTGATTGAATGAGTTCATTTGCCTTACAACTTTTCGTATAGTGATACTGTTGCATCATGGTATTATTCAGACCACATAGGTAATCTTACCACACAAATTAAATTAATTCAGAATATTTATAGAATTACTAAAGCATGAAACCAGACAACAGATTATGCTGTCTGGGTTAACACAGCCCTGCCATATGATTTTTATTTTTTTTTTGGTGGGTGACAAGTTGGTGGCAGATCAAATTCTTCCCTTCCAAAGGGGATGCCTCTGTCTTTGCAATTTACAGGAATGGCACTGCTGGTGTTTTAGCCAAGTTCAACACCTGCATCACCCACCTCCTGTGGATGAAAATTTGCACAGTGTCACCCCCAAGGTGTGACCTTTTTCAGGGTCCAGCTGAGACAAAAAGCTTGTCCATGTCTTCGAAGGGACCTTACAAAGCCCTGACTCAGGTGCTGCTGTTCACCCCAGCCTTGCCAAGGGCCCTCTTGCTCTTCTTGCTCCCACCTCCCTTTCTCCCTTCTTCTCACCCTCCCTTCCTTCCTCCTTCCCTCCCTTCCTCCTTCCCTCCCTTCTTGAGGTCTCAGCAAGGGAGCCTCTGGGATGGGTGAAATCCTGGAGGGAGACGCCCTCTGCAGGTCGCTCACGGTTTTCCTTGGCATCTGCAAGCAAAATGTCTTTTTTTGGAAATACTTGACACAGTAGTCCTGAAAAATCAACGTATCTTGCTACACCTGGGGGAAAATGAGTTTCCCTGATCCTCGTTGCTAAAGGTTTTCTTTAAAAACAATGCTTCTGGCACTGTTCTCTTTTGATGATATCAGCAAAACCTATGGTGTGTTTATTAATATTCATAGTGATAGACACTGTAATCAGGAACTGATTTGCTTTAATTTTGACATGTTTTCATATGGCAAGAAAAATCCTGTAACTATTTTACCTTGATATTTTGTTCCTTATTTTCTTGCTGAATCTTAATATCAGGAGGTAGTAAATATAGGCTTCTGTTTCATATTCTAAAACAGGCAAATGTGAGAACTATAACTCAATTTCATCATCGATCTCAAAAGTATTTCTTTTGAACCTTGTTCTTTCTCTAAGTCAGTGATACCAGGTTAGATCAAATAAGCTCCGGTGGGCAGGGTGTGGAGAAATGAGCCAAAATGAATCATACAATTTTTTGTGTGTCTAGACATTTGATAATTCACCTAAAGCCCATCTTTGTCAGCTGGTTGTTCTCCAATGTTTTCAGAACTTTTGTATAAACCTTGAATTCTTTCATCTTGTGTGTTTGCTTGTTCTGTGGGGGTTTTTCGTGAATCTCAAAAGAAAAAGTACTTTTCCTATTTTTTAATTTTATAGTTCAACTCTGAAGACAATTCTAAGTGTCTTAGCATGTGAAGATTTGATAGGGGGCTCAGAATCACAGATACAATCTCAATTCTGTGAGCAGGCAGGTGGGTACATTCAATCAATGAAGTTACACACTAATAACATACTCTGAAAAGCTTTCAATGACAGGGATTCACCTGCTGACCTATATTTTATGACCTTGATACCAGCAAGTTGTTTAAATGAATATTTATGATGTACACGAGAAGTATTACAGACATATAGGCTCTGCACAAAGTGGTGTTTTCATATGGTTCAGGTTTAGCTACTGTGGGCTCAGCTGATTCCAACAGAAGCAGAAGGGAGTCAGCGTGGGACTCCCTTGCTCGTACTCATTTCTGTCTCCTACCTTCCCATCACTGGACATGAACAGAAAAGATGCTGTTTTGATGTAGAACTGGGACAGAAAGAAAACCATTCACAATATCCTGTGGGGTTACTGTGCTCTGTGTCTGGTAACAACAGTTAATTAGAAAGGGGGGTTTATAATCACTTTGTAAATAACACAGCAAATATAGAAAGTATTTATAAACTGGTTTTGGTTTAAGTAGATAAAAGTACAGAAGACTCTTCCAGAGCAATTTCCTCCATGCCAGAGAGGATTAAATGTACACTTGCAATAATGGAAATTAATATGTCCCACAGGAAATCAGTCCTATTGGAGATACACAGGTGAGCTGGGAGGCCAAAGCGATAACATTGCAGATGTTGCTGTGTTTGGCTGGCATCAAAAATCACTCTGTCCCATCCTCTTATTGCTGGCATCAGCTTCAGGACTGAAGTAAGTATGTAATGAGCACTGGTGTAAGAAGATGGACAGTGTTTGCCTAAGGCCATATTGTTATGAAGATATTTTTTATTTAAGATTTCCACAGATGGATTTTTGCAACTAGATTGTATCATCTAATGAATCTGTTTAGTTTAAGATCAGTAAATAGAAAAGTTGCTGCTTTAGTAACAAAACATTGTTGCAGATTGTGATGGGGGGAAACAGTTTTTCCCCCGAAGTTATAAAATGGTAAAACCCCAGGGGGTGGTGACCCTTGCAGTTTTACCCAATGAGCACTTCTGCAAAATATAAACATATCACAAGTAGACCGGAAGAGAAGGTAGATGTAGGGGTTGTTGAAGAGGTAGCCATGTTGTAGAGCCACGAGGAAGGGGCTCGGAGCCCCTTGGGGCCTCTGGCCCCCCCTGCCAGCCCCGACTGGGGTCTGCAGGGACTTGGAACAGTGTTAGACAGGGCTAAGTACCTATAGCTAGAAAGCTGAAGGAGTTTTCTCCACCTTGAGTGGGCAGCAGGAGCAGCAGCAGAGACAGCAGTGAACAGAGACTATGGCTGAAAGCCAACAGATAAGAACTGAACTGGAAGAGCAGCAAACAGCATGCAGCCAAGGAAGACACAGAGTTGTCGGAAGAGAAAGAGAGCCAGCAGGAGAGAGAGCAGACCTAAGCTCTACAGACAGAGTTTTTGGGGTAAGAACTGAACCAAAAGACCCCAAACTCCTTGGAGACCCCTCCTAGAAAAGAGGAGGATGATGGACTCTTACTTGAAAGAGTCGTGGAGTGCTACAGCACTGCAGAGAGGAGCTGAAAAGCTCAGGCGTCCTGGAAAGCTGGGCCGGGATGGAGAAAGAATGCCGACCTTGGCCCCCCGTCGCCGCTGCTGCTGAGCTAAGCTAGCAGCCTGAGATCAGAGCCCAAGAGCTCTGTAGGGAACTTGAATCCCCTGAAGATAAGGACCGTCACGAAGACCCCTGCACTTCATGATATGACCATGGTGAAGTGAGTTTTGTCCCTGTTACGCAGCCCACGGAAGAGAAGACCCTCTCTTGGAGATGATGGGCTGAGGGGCTTGGATACCCCCTCGTGTGTATTGGCAGAGATCCAGCTACAGCTGCTGCATGAGAGAACCTGCTACCCTAGAGAATGCTGCTCTGAGAGTAGAAAGGATCTTTCCTTCTTCCCTCCTGGACTTTTATTTGGAGGGGAAAAGAGATTTGATTCATTGTAAATACTTACGTCATGGTAGAGATAATTAAGATTGTATATAATCTATTGTAGTATTTATTTTGTACAGTCATTGTAATGTATTCCCTTTCCCCCATTCTGAGTCTCATGTGATGTCTGGAAAATCCATCTCACATTGGGTTGAAATATGGGAGGGGGTTTGGACTAAGGAATTGGATTTTGGGACTCTCAAACCATGACACAGATCTATCTTATTATTAGACTTGAGTTGGTACAATATTTCTTCAGTCTTGAATGAAATAGCAGCAGAAAAGGTATTTTAAATATAGAGATTCCTAGAACCTTTCAGATCTACATTATAAGTTCAAGGTCACATCTTCTCTGATCACAGATCATTCATATAATTATCCAGACGTTTGTGCAAAAGATGCAGGGAATTAACAGGTTTGGGTTTTTTTAAATAGAATAAAAGCCTAATTCACATTCGGAATGTACAGTCAGCAAACAAAGCTTAAATCCTTTGCCAGACTAAATAAATAAAATATTTTCCACCACAGTCTTTGGATGATTCGAGCTGGGAAAGCTGGGCAGATTATGAACTAGTGGGATTTGCAAAGGTGAAACACTAAAGAAATCTTGGCCAAAATTTGAGGGTGGGAAAGCAATGGCGGCACATCCAGGCTCCAGCCCCTGCACAGAGCATTATATTTCTGTTTAATTCAAGTGTTTCTGCTAATTCATGGTTAAATAATCTAAAAATGGTCAAAGTTCAATGCTCATTATTAGACTTTGTGGTCTAGATTTGCTCATGCCTCTGAACTGTGGTGTTTTCTGTCTAACACCAGTCCCAGCAACTCTTGGCAAGGGCAACACAAAAGCTGAAGTCTGTTCAGTTTGGGCTGCTGCACCAAAACCACAGCTGCCAGGAGAGAAGAGCATAGATTCTGCAGCTGTTTTGTAGGATCTCTTGCAACAACCAGGGACCTGAGGATTTTGTCTGATTTAGTTTAACTCTAGGGCTCCTGATTATATGTAACATGTATAAGGATCTTTGAGCATAATGGTTAATTAACAAAGAAGAAAATAACTTGGAAAAAGACATGAGTTTTCTTTTTGTGAATCTAAAAAGGAGATTATAAGGGGAGCTAATCAGAGACTCTTTCTGCTCCATGGGATATGATGACATATACAGAATTAAAACAAATATGTTATTTGTCCATGGAAATTAAATTTCAACAGTTCATTACAGTTGGGGAAAGATGACTACCATCCTCCCTCCACACACACATTGTCTCCTGATCGTTCTTTTTCACTGACAGGTTCACCTATTCACCCAAATAATAATCGCCTTTGTAATTTTATTTTTTTCTTTTCAGTGCCTCTCTCTCTTCACATGGCAACAGAGCAGTGTCTGCAACAGAGCAGAAGACCTCCAGAGGATGAGCTCCCTGGTCAATGCCTCACACCTCCAGCTCACTGCCTTCGTTCTGGGTACGGTAGGCTGGATCTTGTGCACCATTTCAATGGGAATGGTGGAATGGAGAGTGTGGCACGTGGACAACACCAGCATCATCTCCTCTGGCATTGCCTGGGTGGGGATTTGGAAAGTCTGCTTCATCAGTTACCTTCACGTCTCACCTGGCTATAGAGAACAGTTCTGCCATAAATTCAGTGGCTATGAGTCCTTCGTCCCCCATGAAATTTATGCTGCTCAGGGTCTCCTGTTGATTGCCATGTTCGTGGGCTTGCTGGGACTGGCTGCTACAATATTTGCTCTGAGAAATGTGTATATGGGAATCACTCACAAGACTCTTATTACCCCTTTCTTCCTGGTGGGTGGCTTCTTCTACATATTTGCTGGTCTGTGTGTCCTGATTCCTGTGAGCTGGAATTTCTATTCTGTAACGCACAACAGGAGCATTGCTTTTCCTCCTTCTTATTACATGCCCTCCAGTCCAGTGGCTCAGGAAGCTGGTCCTGCAATTCCTGTTGGGATTGTGGCTGTCATTCTCCTGCTGCTAAGTGGGACTTTTTCTCTCTCATACAGATTTCCAGGGACCACAAATACTATAACAAAATCCTGACAGGACAAATCCCCCGTGCTATTTCAGAACAAGAACATAGTCAAGAGATAAGGACAGCAGGATGAGTGGTTGTATAGTTAAGGAACTGCAGAATTTAATTTTATTCTATAGTAGCTATTTTCTTATATGAACCAATTGAGTTACCATCTTAATGGTCACATATGACCAGAGGTTCGTTTTGAGATAACTGCTGTTGAGCAGCAACTGTGATTAAATTTTGCCAGTTCACCCCTTTTGTATGTACAAACACTACTGATTAATTTATTTTTTTGTTTGTGTAAACTATTAACCATGCTTAAGGAGCTGGCTCTGAATGAAATGTCTTGTTAGAAAAATGTGAAATAACATATATTAAATGTGAATTTGTTTGTACTAAGGTCTTTTTGTCCATTATTTAATTACAGCTGTAGTAAAGTATGTTTTGTGACAAGTCAAGACTTTTAAAACCAATAATATGAGTGTCATCATGGTTATGTCAAATGACTCTTCCCTGAATTGTCTAACAAATGTCTTGCCAGTTTCTCCTCTTCCTCTAGGGCACATAAAGGGCTGTGTCTTTATTGCTTCTGTTTTTCTTTCAAGCTGTTTGCATTTTATGTTGCAACATGTTTGCCTGTGGGGAAGGTGCGCTCTTAGTTCCTAACTTAGGCAGAGCCAAAAAGTCTGCAAGTGTTTGCTTCTTCATCAGACACTTCACTGAATCCAAAGGTATTGCAAAAGACAGAAACAACTTGTACAAGTTATTACAAAACTGATGTCAAAACCAGGAATATTCAGTGCAACTTTCAGGGTATGATTCATCTGATGTAGACATCTATATCTGAACCGGTCACTTCAGGCTCCGTTTCTAATCAATGTAGAGACAAAGCCTTTTTTCAAGATGTAGATGCCTCGACTGGTTGGGAGATGACACGCTCCCTAAAAACCTGTTTCTCTTAGCCCACTATAATGGTTGTAATAACCAGGGTTGCTAACTCTGGCACATACAACGAAACTTCACCTAAGCAAAAAAAAACAAAAAACAAAAAAAAGAGAAATGTCCCAAATGCTGCAATAAGAACAAATTAAAAAAAAAAAATTCAGAGATTGGGATGAATGAGCAAACAGGGTTGACAAACTGATGATCTCTTGAAAGAGGTCCTCAAAAAGTTATTACACTTTTAAAGAAATGTAAGAGGGATCTAAGTAATTTAGTTTTACTCTTTTAATTGTCCTGCATTTTTTAAAATACTCATGGATTCAGAGAAAGAAAATTTAACAAAAATATGTTCTTGTACATTGCAAGACAAGGTAAAATGCCAGCAACCTGGATCGTCTTGCTGGTGGTTGTTGCTACCCCAACTTGTCCTAGCAGTTTAATTTTTCCTACACATCTTCCACGTGGTCTTGACTTTTCTGAACTGTCTGACTATGTGGAAACTCCACAGCACCTTCATTTTCTCTCCAGTCTCTTCTGAAACAGCAGCTTATCTCATCATTGGTAATTTTTTCATTGCTGCAAGAATTTATCTTTTGGCTGTTTACAATGCTGTAGAGCACTTTCAAGTGGTGTTTCAATGAATGCAGTTTAATAGCTTGTTTATTATATATTGTTTCCAGTTTGATTTCTAATGTACAGCCTTTATGATGTTGGTAGGTTTTGGTTTTAAAGGTGCAAATCAATAGAACTGTTATCTCTTCCCCCAGGGCCTATGATAATATTAGATTATATCATATTGTGGTTGTAAGAAAAAAAGAGACCTATCTATGTGTTTGTGCCAGCATTTCCCCACACTGGTAAACTACCAATATTCCCTGTCAAGGAATTAGAACTTTAACAGAAAATTACCAATTCTTCAACTCTGGTTGAGTTAATGTATGCACAGAAATATCCACAACCCCAACTGTATTTCTTAGCTCTATTCACTAAACTATTGGATTCAATTTACATATATTCTTCTTGACTAAGAAAAAAAAAGGAAGGAACATCATCATATAGATGCCAAGTTTCTGTGTTACTGCCACTGCTATTTCCACTGGAGATTATGTTCACCTCTCCTGATGTGTGGATATGGAACACTGGTAGTATGTCAAACACAGGCTAGATAGTGAGGAAATTCCTCAGCTAAACACTGGAATACATTACCTAAGGAGACATGTGGGTTTTAAAATAAAGTTTTGTCAAAAAACATTTAGGCAAATAGTACATGAAGACTGTAGGTGTGAGAGAGTCCATCTCAGGACAGAGCGGTGATCTAGATGGGACCCTTGGCATCCTTTCCCAGTCTATTGATAGTCACATGGTTCTTATATGATAAAACATAACCTATGGTCAAATACTACTGTGTATTAAGGCTCCCAGTCCTTCCCTAAAGAAAAGATAGGAAAAAAAAATCTTACAGAATCACAGAACATTTATGTTGGAAAAGACTTCTAAGATCATCAAGTCCAGTCTGACTGATGATCACTTTGTCAATTAGACCATGGCACTAAGTGCTACATCCAGTTGTTTCTTGAACGCCTCCAAGGATGGTGACTCCCTGGGCAGTCCATTCCAATGCCTGACAACCCTTTCAGTGAAGAAATTCCTCCTGATGTCCAGCCTGAACCTCCCCTGGTGCAGTTTGAGGCCATTTCCTCTTGTCCTATCACTAGTTGCCTGGGAGAGGAGACTGGACCCCCACCTGGCTACAACCTCCTTTCAAGTAGTTGTAGAGAGAGAGTAAGGTCATACATGAGCCTCCTTTTCTCCAGGCTAATCTTAGATTAGAACAAGGGAGAGGTGAAACTTCCACTGGTTGAAAGGGATCGAGCCTGTCTGACCTTGATCCCTCAGGGCTGTGTGATTCATTAAAATTTACTGAATGTTTGTGTTCATTATGATTCTGATATTGGAGGAGTAAAGCCCATGTGATTTTACTTCACCAGCAAGGAGATAGGTTCTCTGTGCATATTTTCATGACATTTATTTTAGAATTTGAGAAGCTAAATTACCTTTCAGTAGTTCAATTTGTTACCATGTCAGTTGTGCTTGTATAGGTAATTTTAGGGTTATCTGTAAAATCAGGCAGCTGAAGTGATCTTGGTTTAAAACTCAAAAATGCAAAACTATTTTGGAAGGCTATTTTTAACCTAGATTGCTTTAGGGAACTACCTTAAAACCTGGCCCCACAATCATTTGTAGCAGCACAGTTGAGGACAGGCAGCAAGCTGTAATGCAGACAGGAGTGAGTGGTCAGGGCTTTGAGGTACAGAGATAAGGGGCAAAAACCTCTTAAGCAAATTTCACCACTGAAGAGATCATATCGCGAAGCTCGTCTCCAGCTTCCGTGCAGACTGGGACCTGCTGCCTCCCCAGTGACAGCACCGCTTGCCTTGTGGGCTCCACCCTGTCTAGGAATGTCTCCACGCTGGCCTCAGTCTACACATAAGCCAGTCTCACTTTATTTTTTCTGAGTTGACAATAAACAAGTACCTTGTGATTCACTACATGTCTGAATTCACTGCTGGGCAAACGATGGGAATACCAAGACTCTTTGAGTTCTGCTGGGTACCTAGGTGTAATGATAAGGCCTCATCTTTGACCTCCATGACATACTCCTCGGCATTAATCTACCACAGGATGCATTTTGTTAACCTTATTTTCATGTACCCTCTACCTCACCTGTCCATTCATGGCCACAGACCAAAAAAATGTATGAATACGTGTTCAGTATTCCTTTAGGATGGATGTGCAAATAGAAAATGGAGCTGAACAGTGCCTAACAATAAAACAGCCCCACAACACAAAGCCTGCTGAGACTTTCCCCAGAGGAATATGCAATTCGGACCAATGTAATTTGTGTTCAGGCAAAGGAAGAGGGATGAACTGGAGACAAAGTACTGCAGAACAGGTCATCAAATTAGTCAGGTTAAGTCAGTAATCAAAATCTTTATTTGAGTCAGCAGTTTAACATGAAGACAGTCTTAATTGCCGATTTAGCTGATTAAAAGCAATGCTAGGCTCAGAAAGAAATGTCTTTCTTGTCACGTGGCTTATGGTATATTACAGTGATGAGAAGGAGGGTGTTTTTCAGGGATATTTTTAGACCTTGGACCATTTTCCCCTTAGAATGGAAAAAGCGAAATGTCACAGCCAATTTCCTGCACTTTAGGCCATTAAATACTTTAGGACAAAGAGTTTTTGCTTAAAAAAATGTTAGTCTGGCTGGCATAGTGTTTAATGGCAAATTGTTTTCTTAAAATAGGAAACCAATGTACATGAAATTAAAGATTCCCAGAAGAAACATGTTCTCTGTGAAAAGTATACCTTTTTCAAAACTGAAGAGGGATTCCTTTCTTTCTTGCCAACTTCATATTGTCAAATCCAGTATCGGCTCACAAAAACGTATTTTTCAACCAACTTATTTCCCTTTCTACTGCTCAAATAATTTACTCTGTTTCCCTTGCTTGAGAGAGTTAAATAATTAGCATGGTGCTTTGGAGTATGCTGGCTTTCAATTATTGTGTCAAACCCAACTGTATGCCAAACAAGAAAATGTAAGTGAATTTCATCTCAGAATTATAAAGCAAATAAATACTGACTCAAGGAATGGAGTACAGCACACACTGTTAACATCCAGTTCACAGTGTGTCACATCAACTCCTTTTTCTTGGGTTATGTGTGGGAAAGACTGTGAGGTTAATTCCCAGAATACTATTTTGAAGAAGCATATACATTCTGAATGTCTGACATTCTGATACAGAAGGCAACACTGCAAAACAGCAGGGAGGGGGCCCACCATGCCCACATCTAACCACACCAACTTTGTCAGAGTCCTCCTTGATGACAACGACTCAGGTGGGAACTACATTCTTTTGCAGCACCGCAGACATCAGGGACCCCACTGACTGAGAGCCGGCAGCAGCCGTGTGTGCTGAACCCCACCCTGCTGCCCAGGCCAATAAAATAATTTGTTGTACTTTCTTCCACCCCAGACTATCCATCCTGGCTGCATTTGCCTATGGCATGGCTGTGGCAGTTCTCAGAAGTGTCTGGACTGTGGCCTGTTTGGTACCATCTTCAGCTGTTCAGTATCAGGTATGCTGGGCTGGGTGTCACCTCCTGTGCAGCACCGAGCACAGCTTACCAAGGACACCTCCATCATCTCCTCTAGCACTGCTCAGGTGGGAACTGGGAAACTTGAGTGGTCACTGAATAAAGGTCTGTCACGGAATCAGGCTCAGTGAAGATATTACTCCTGAAAACCTTGGTTGTTCAGAAGCTTTCACTGGCTGCTATGATCCTGGGTGCACTAGAAGAAACCTACCAGCTTTCCTCCAAGAAATAGT